ATTCTGGGGTTTAGGGTTTAGGGGTTAGCGTCAAGCGTTCTGTCGCACGTATGTCACCCTAAGGGTCCATGTACTCATATAGTATATACATTGGCCCCAAAGTACCTATATAGGGACTACTTTAAGGCCAAAGTATATACTATTTGGGTACATGGACCCTTAGGGTCAGTCAGTGCCAGCCATCAGGCCTTGAGCCTGCTCAATAGCAAGCTGCTCAGTAATCGTTTGTAACGAGGGATTCAACTCTAAACTCTAGACCCTAAACCCTAAACCCTAAACCCTAAACCCTAAACCCGAAACCCGAGACCCTAAACCCTAAACCCGAAACCCGAAACCCTACACCCTAAACCCTAAACCCTAAACCCTAAACCCTAAGGATCCTAAGAGGGTCTGGTGCTCTTGGGGGAACCCAAACCCGGCACCCCCAATTCCTAAAACCCGCTTGGGCTAAGGAGGCCTCCATCGGTTTAGGGTTTAAGGTTTATGTTTTTTGGTTTAGGGTTTATGTTGTTTTAGGGTGTAGGGTTTATGTTTTTTTGGGTTTAGGGTTTAGGGTTTAAGTTTGTTTTTTTGGTTTAGGGTTTATGTTGTTGTTGGGTTTAGGGCTTAGGGTTTATGTTTTTTTGGGGTTTAGGGTTCAGGGTTTGGGGTTCTACATTGGTGCATCGGAATCTATCAGTCATTGGAGCCTAAGGGCGACCAAGGAGTCGTCGATCGTAGGATCTGCGCTGTCCGTTGTAGCTCTTTCCGTTGGGGTCAACGGAGTTTTCTGGCTTTGATCCTATGCAGGTGACATAGATTTGGTTAAATCACAAAGTAGTAACTACAACGCAGACTGTACGTAAAAGCAAGGACTGCGCCGATACCTAATATATAGTGTCCAATGTAGTTCCTTTCTCAGCGTACTATATAGGATCCTAAATATAAACCACAAAAAGGGACTACAGTGGATCCTGTAGGCACCTACTACCCGGATTATGTCAGTGTTGTTTCGCCTGGAAAAGGCGCAGATCTCACTGAGCTGGACATCAATGTCGCTCTTCGTGGCACTGGCGCAAGGCCCAGTCCGCGGGATTAGGTTGAAAGGTTCAAGTCCAACCCTGCACGCCCTGAGGTATAGGTTTAGGACCCTAAACCCTGAACCGTTAGGGCATTCAGATGTCATTCTTAGTCTTTCGACTTCAGGGTGTAGGTTTCCAGCTCATGACTTAGAGTCTTTACCCAAAGGCTCGAAAGCTTCATATGGCCAAGAGACATAGAATATGAGTCCATATAAGGGCTTCAGGGTTATAACCCTAAGAATGCAAGTACCTAATAATCGTATACTCTCCCAAATAGTATATGTAACCTACATAACTACTCTCCGAAACCTACATACCCAAGTATGGGGTCCTTTGGACCCTTAGGGTAAGGGCTTCGAGTGCTTTTGTGCAGGGATCTGGGCTGGAGGAGCGGCCTTGCCCTTTCCGTGGCTTCTGTGCTATGCCCCTGAGGGTCCATGTACTCAAATAGTAGATACTTGTGCCCCAAAGTACCCAAACAGGGATTACTTTAAGGCCGAAGTATCGACTGTTTGGGTACATGGACCCTTAGGGTGCTATCTTTCATGCTGTCTCCTTCTTCGGCTGTTACCCTTGTGCCTTTCCGTTTCTTAGTATTTAGGGAGTGCCGTAAACCTTAAGGACGAAATGGCACCTAAAAGGGTTTAAGGTTCATATACCATATAGGGATTCATAGTCCGAGGGTAGAGGGCCCCTACTCTTAAGGGTCATTTCGTCCTCAAGGGACCTTTAACCCTGCCCCCAGGTCCTAGACTTTGGGATGAATACTTGCTTGGAAGAGTACTGGAGTTGTTGGCCCAGACACCGCACCGTAGCACCCGGAGGTGTGTTGATCACACTTGCATGAGCAGTTCGACTAGGGGTGTCATTAACAGGGTTTAGGGTTTAGAGACATATTCTACCCTACGGAAAAGTGTGTCCTAACCAACGGAACAGTGGCGGTCTCTCATTCCGAGCGTCAATGCCAGGGTCGAAGCGAACGTGGTTTCGATCAGGCTGGAGCAAGTGGGAGTGCGACAACGCCAGGTGATGACCGCTGTTTGCCGGAGCTGGGCCTCTGCGGTCGCTGCGACGCTCCGGCGCACTTGGCGGCTGCGAGTGCCGGAGTTCTACCTCGACGTCTTCGATCGGGTCTCTGCGATATTCATGCGTGTGCACGCAGCGCACCTCGACATGTTGCAGTTGCGCAAAGGCATTTCGGCGCGCCTGGCTCTTTGTCTCGGGGTGAAGCAGGGAAGCAGTTATACGAGACTGCTGACAAAGGCGCCCGTTGACGACATCGTGCTTCGTGCTCCGGCCGCGGATTTCAAGGATGCGGCTGAGCGCAAGTTCTTGCATCGTTTACTAGTTCGGTGGCGGAACACGCGGATGCTGAGCCATGACAGTGCAACCTTTAACAACGCGGGCTCAAAATAGCCCAAAGGCCACATGTAGCATCGCCACCTGGAGCTTCACACCCTATACTATCAGCCCGTAGACCACAGCAAGCTATCCAGGCACCTGTGCAATGATTCATGATTCAATGAGCTTTTAGCTGCATAGCTTCCCTCAGCCCTAAACTCTAAACCCTAAACCCCTAAACCCGAAGTCCTAAAACCCTTAGATTACATGCTGGAGGCACGCGGCCTTGGCATGATATTCAGCATAGGGATTTCGGATGGGGTTTAGGGATTAATGTTTAGGGTTTAAGGTTTATAGAGTTTAGGGATCAGGGGGTAGTTCAAGTTTGTAAAACCCGCAACCTTGTCTTTTTTCGTTCTCCTAAAGCCTGAGCTTCCTACACCGGCGAGCTCTTAATGTAAGGTCCTGAATATTGACAAGTATTCCTTAGTTGTCCTGAATATATATATATATATGTATATACACACACCTTCATCATATTTTATATAACTACAGTCCAATACACCCCCCCCCCCTCAAACTCCTATTCTGAATATGAAGGCCCCTACATTGCACATTCCTATAACCCAACTACCCAAATCCTGAGCCCGAAACCCCATACTCTAAGCCTAAAGGCCGACCCTAAGGCTCATATAGTATATACATTGGCCTTAATGTAGTTCCTAGTAAACTACTGTAGGGTCTCAGTATATACTATATGGGTGGCCTTGATGTAGTTCCCCAACAGCGGATACGCTTATG